TACAGCAGAAGAAATGAAATTACAAGTATTGCTCTTATGATGATGGGGAGGGAGTTTGGTGAAGAAGAATCCCCTACTTATATTTACGCAATATGTTAGTTTTGGCCAGATTCCTCTCTTAAGAAGCAGATAACTATTTGTGGCAAATCACACTTCTGGGTTTTTTGTATTAAAACCAAGTTCTGGAAATTTCACAGATTTCATAGACATTGGGGCCGGAAGGGACCTCGGAAGATCATTGAGTTCAGCCCCCGCCCCATGGGCAGGAAGTCAGCACGGGTCATAGGATTCCAGCAAGATAAACATCCAAATTTCTCTTGAAGGTGTTCAAAGTGACTGATGCCGGAGGTGGTTCAAGCAGCTTATTCCAGACCTTGGGGGCTCGGACTATAAAGAAGTTCTTCCTTATGTCCAGCCTGAAACGGTCCTGAAGGAGTTCATGACCATTCGACCTTGTTATTCCCTGGGACACTCTGGTGAACAGACATTCCCCCAGATCCTGGTGATCGCCCTGAAACTTATAGGTGGCCATCAGATCACCCCTGAGCCTGCGCTTTTCCAGGCTGAAGAGTCCCATACCTCTCAGTCTCTTCATAAGGTGTTTTCCTGACCTCTGATCATGCACATGGCTCTCCTCTGCACTCTCTCAAGCTTCTCCACATCCTTTTTGAATTGTAGAGCCCAAAACGATGCAGTACTTCAGCTGCGGCCTCACCAAAGCTGAGTACAACAGGAGAATGACATCCTGGGATCTGCTTGAGAAGCATTGATGGATGCAAGCCAGCATTTTGCTTGCTTTACTGGCTGAAGCATCACATTGAAGGCTCATGTTCATCTTGTGGTCAATCATGACCCCCAAGTCCCTTTCATCCATAGTGCTAGCCAGTGTAGCATGGCCGAGCCTATAAGCATGCTGCGGGTTTTTCTTCCCAAGGTGGAGAACCTTACATTTTTTAGTGTTAAACACCATCAGGTTCTCATCTGCCCATTTCCTGAGCCTGTCAAGGTCAGCCTGGATCACCCTCCTGTCCTCAGGTGTGGACGCTTTACCCCAGAGTTTGGTGTCATCGGCGAACTTAGCCAGTCCACTTCTGATACCAATATCCACATCATTGATGAAGTTGTTGAATAGTGTCGGCCCAAGAACAGAGCTTTGAGGAACCCTACTGGCCACCGCACAGTGCGACAATTGACTTCCATCAACCACCACCACCTGGGTTTGACCATGGAGCCAATTCCCCAGCCAACAGTTCATGGTGAAGCCAAGGCTGCAGTTGGCCAGTTTTTCCAAGAGGTGATAATGGGATACCAGATCGAAGGCTTTTTTAAAAGTCAAGATATATGACATGAATCACCTCTCCCTTGTCCAGGTGATAGGTCACCTGGTCGTAAAAGGAAATAAGATCGGTCAAGCAAGACCTACCCACAACAAAACCATGCTGGCTATCCCTCAGGATGTTGCCATCGGACAGTCTGTTAAGAATGGCCTCTTTGATAATATTTTCTAAGACCTTTCCCGAGATATAGGTCAGGTTGATGGGCCTGTAGCTTGCCAGATCCACTTTCCTCCCCTTCTTGAAGATGGGCACCAAATTGGCCTTCTTCCAATCTTCAGGCACTTCACCAGACCGCCAGGAATTCTCGAAGATCTGTGCCAGAGGCTGAGCTATGATTTTTGCCAGCTCCTTGAGTACCCTGGGGTGTAAACTGTCAAGGCGGGTTGACTTGAAGGTATCCAGCCTCTCAAGGTGTTCCTTCATAAGGTCAGCATTGATGGAGGTAAGGAATCTCCCTCCCCCCGGCCTACCGGACTTATAACGAAATGGAGACTGGTGAAAAACCTGACGCAAAGTACCCATTTAGCAAGTTGGCTTTTTCCTGGGCATCGGTTGTCAGTTGTCCCACCTGGTTTAGCAGGGGTCCGATCGTTTCCCTTGTTTTTCCTCCGGCTCCCCACATACCTATAAAAGGACTTTTTATTGTCCTTGATACTTGTAGCTAGCTGGAGTTCAGTTGCAGCCTTGGCTTTCCTAGTTTGCTCCCTGCAGGTCTGGACCAGTGCAAAATATTTCTCCTTGGAGGTGGATCCCATCCTCCATCCTTTGTAGGCCTTTCTTTTTAGACACAGGAGGTCTGCTAGTTCCCTGCAAAGCCAAGGGGGCTGCATTTAAATGTCTGCCTGTAAAGTGAATAAGTGACCAATAGGTGGCACACTGCAGCTACCTTGATGTAGATGCTAGACATCTACATGCCAGTGAATAGGGAAGTGTCCACAATTCGACTGGATGAGGATGCAAGCTGGTTCAAAGCCATGACAGGACTTTACTATCCCAATGACAGCATTTCAGGCTCTTGGCTATGCGCTACTCCTGAGTGCGTAACTCTGCCTACTATTATCCTGCACTAAGGCCACATACACAAATAGTAACATGTCTATAAGCCTGATCTACTTTTCCCCTCTTCAGAGTCTTTGCAGAGAGGGAGTTAATACTCCATTCATAGTAGCACTTGTACTCGAATAACCATTACTTCCCTTCTTTTGTATCCCTCTCAGTAGGTCAAATTGCCCTTTTTTGCTTGTTTTTATTTTTGTGCGACACTGACTCCCAAATAAACTTGAAACAGTAACTGATGCATTGAAGTTAATTTTTGAATTGTTGAGGTTTTCCTTGTATTTTGGTTCTCTTTTTACTTTACAGCCTTGACTCTAACTTTGGGGAGGGGCATCTGTGAGGTGGGTGTGTGTGTGGGTGGAGGGGGCATTTTTCAATTTTCCTTGATCTTCCAGCTGCCTCCCAGGGCTGGAATTGGTTCTATTGCTACCAACAAGCGTAAGCGCATGAATAAAGTCAACTGTATCTTTGTGCAGCCTGTGCCCACTTGCTTGTAGCAACAGCCTTCTCCATGAGAGAAGGAGCTTACTTTGTGGAGAGAACAGAAAGCAAACATGGCGCTTGGTTCTCCCCAGCTGTCTTCAGATATTTTCTCCCTTCTTCATACCCTTCACTTCCAGTCATGAACACAGTGTGACCCTTCCAGAGCTGGGAGGGCACCACAGCTCTGTCAGTGGCAGGAGCGTGGCGGTGACAACCGGTGAGCTCCCACAGGCAGCCGCCGCGCCGTTGGCAGGGGGAGGGAGGGGGCAGGGAGTGAGCACCAAGCGGTGGTTGGTGACCACCTGCACGTCACCAGCAGCGGTGGCAGTGGCCAGTGGCAGTTGTGGACCGTCCACAGACAGTGTTGGCGGCAAGGCGGGGGGGATGGTGCCCACCCGCAGGTGCTGCCAGAAGTGGTGGCGCCTTTTTCCAGAGGGTGTATGCGCACCTGCGTGCACCCCCTGCACTGCAAATGCTTCCGGTGGGACAAGGCTCTGACAGTGGCTCAAATGCCTTGTTTTTCCTTACCTTTGCGTTTGTCTTTGGTCAGAGAATGAGAAATGGGGGGAAAGCAGCAGAAACTTCCCCGAGCCCAGCGGGCAGGTGCCATTGCGGGGGCAGACCTGTCGCACTGCCTCGAAACAGGTAGTTTAAAACAAAACAAACCAAAAAAAAACAAAAGAGGGAGACCAAAGCTTCCGGGGGCCTGAGCACCTGCTGCAATCCCAGGCCAGGGCTGGGAGCAGCTCTGCTGCCCCGCACCAGCCGCGGGCTCGGCCCGTGCGGAGGCGGGGCCGGGGCCGATAAAAGCGCGGCTGCAGAGCGCGGCGGCGCCGCGGCCTCATGGCGACCAGTTCGCAGGGCGCGGCCGAGGCGGCCG